CAATCAGTGGCATACATCAGCATGTCAATACATCCTCACACATACTCATTGGGGGTGTCACTAGCCCCACCCGTATCAATCAGTGGCATACATCAGCATGTCAATACATCCTCACACATACTCATTGGGGGTGTCACTAGCCCCACCCGTATCAATCAGTGGCATACATCAGCATGTCAATACATCCTCACACATACTCATTGGGGGTGTCACTAGCCCCACCCGTATCAATCAGTGGCATACATCAGCATGTCAATACATCCTCACACATACTCATTGGGGGTGTCACTAGCCCCACCCGTATCAATCAGTGGCATACATCAGCATGTTAATACATCCTCACACATACTCATTGGGGGTGTCACTAGCCCTATCCGTATCAATCAGTGGCATACATCAGCATGTCAATACATCCTCACACATACTCATTGGGGGTGTCACTAGCCCCACCCGTATCAATCAGTGGCATACATCAGCATGTCAATACATCCTCACACATACTCATTGGGGGTGTCACTAGCCCTATCCGTATCAATCAGTGGCATACATCAGCATGTCAATACATCCTCACACATACTCATTGGGGGTGTCACTAGCCCCACCCCTATCAATCAGTGGCATACATCAGCATGTCAATACATCCTCACACATACTCATTGGGGTGTCACTAGGCCCACCCGTATCAATCAGTGGCATACACCAGCATGTCAATACATCCTCACACATACTCATTGGGGGTGTCACTAGCCCTATCCGTATCAATCAGTGGCATACATCAGCTTAATTGTCAATACATCCTCACACATACTCATTGGTGGTGTCACTAGCCCCACCCCTATCAATCAGTGGCATACATCAGCATGTCAATACATCCTCACACATACTCATTGGGGGTGTCACTAGCCCCACCCGTATCAATCAGTGGCATACATCAGCATGTCAATACATCCTCACACATACTCATTGGGGGTGTCACTAGCCCTATCCGTATCAATCAGTGGCATACATCAGCTTAATTGTCAATACATCCTCACACATACTCATTTGGGGTGTCACTAGCCCCACCCCTATCAATCAGTGGCATACATCAGCATGTCAATACATCCTCACACACACTCATTGGGGGTGTCACTAGCCCTTTCCGTATCAATCAGTGGCATACATCAGCATGTCAATACATCCTCACACATACTCATTGGGGGTGTCACTAGCCCTATCCGCATCAATCAGTGGCATACATCAGCATGTCAATACATCCTCACACATACTCATTGGGGGTGTCACTAGCCCCACCCGTATCAATCAGTGGCATACATCAGCATGTCAATACATCCTCACACATACTCATTGGGGTGTCACTAGGACCCACCCGTATCAATCAGTGGCATACATCAGCATGTCAATACATCCTCACACATACTCATTGGGGTGTCACTAGGACCCACCCGTATCAATCAGTGGCATACATCAGCATGTCAATACATCCTCACACATACTCATTGGGGGTGTCACTAGCCCTATCCGTATCAATCAGTGGCATACATCAGCTTGTCAATACATCCTCACACATAATCATTGGGGGTGTCACTAGCCCCACCCGTATCAATCAGTGGCATACATCAGCATGTGAATGCATTCTCACACATACTCATTGGGGTGTCACTAGGCCCACCCGTATCAATCAGTGGCATACATCAGCATGTCAATACATCCTCACACATACTCATTGGGGGTGTCACTAGCCCCACCCGTATCAATCAGTGGCATACATCAGCATGTCAATACATCCTCACACATACTCATTGGGGGTGTCACTAGCCCCACCCGTATCAATCAGTGGCATACATCAGCATGTCAATACATCCTCACACATACTCATTGGGGGTGTCACTAGCCCTATCCGTATCAATCAGTGGCATACATCAGCATGTCAATACATCCTCACACATACTCATTGGGGGTGTCACTAGCCCCACCCGTATCAATCAGTGGCATACATCAGCATGTCAATACATCCTCACACATACTCATTGGGGGTGTCACTAGCCCTATCCGTATCAATCAGTGGCATACATCAGCATGTCAATACATCCTCACACATACTCATTGGGGGTGTCACTAGCCCCACCCCTATCAATCAGTGGCATACATCAGCATGTCAATACATCCTCACACATACTCATTGGGGTGTCACTAGGCCCACCCGTATCAATCAGTGGCATACACCAGCATGTCAATACATCCTCACACATACTCATTGGGGGTGTCACTAGCCCTATCCGTATCAATCAGTGGCATACATCAGCTTAATTGTCAATACATCCTCACACATACTCATTGGTGGTGTCACTAGCCCCACCCCTATCAATCAGTGGCATACATCAGCATGTCAATACATCCTCACACATACTCATTGGGGGTGTCACTAGCCCCACCCGTATCAATCAGTGGCATACATCAGCATGTCAATACATCCTCACACATACTCATTGGGGGTGTCACTAGCCCTATCCGTATCAATCAGTGGCATACATCAGCTTAATTGTCAATACATCCTCACACATACTCATTGGGGGTGTCACTAGCCCCACCCCTATCAATCAGTGGCATACATCAGCATGTCAATACATCCTCACACACACTCATTGGGGGTGTCACTAGCCCTTTCCGTATCAATCAGTGGCATACATCAGCATGTCAATACATCCTCACACATACTCATTGGGGGTGTCACTAGCCCTATCCGCATCAATCAGTGGCATACATCAGCATGTCAATACATCCTCACACATACTCATTGGGGTGTCACTAGCCCCACCCGTATCAATCAGTGGCATACATCAGCATGTCAATACATCCTCACACATACTCATTGGGGTGTCACTAGGACCCACCCGTATCAATCAGTGGCATACATCAGCATGTCAATACATCCTCACACATACTCATTGGGGTGTCACTAGGACCCACCCGTATCAATCAGTGGCATACATCAGCATGTCAATACATCCTCACACATACTCATTGGGGGTGTCACTAGCCCTATCCGTATCAATCAGTGGCATACATCAGCTTGTCAATACATCCTCACACATAATCATTGGGGGTGTCACTAGCCCCACCCGTATCAATCAGTGGCATACATCAGCATGTGAATGCATTCTCACACATACTCATTGGGGTGTCACTAGGCCCACCCGTATCAATCAGTGGCATACATCAGCATGTCAATACATCCTCACACATACTCATTGGGGGTGTCACTAGCCCCACCCGTATCAATCAGTGGCATACATCAGCATGTCAATACATCCTCACACATACCAGGTTCATCAACGGGACAACATGATTTTTCAATACTCGTTAAATAATCTAGTTATCTTCTTACAAGTCGAATGGCAAACCAGTGCGGATATCACGACGAACAGTTTGATCTGATCTCACATGCTTATGACGTCACAATGAACCTTGTTTTCACTCTGAGTTATATTGAGAGAACGACTGAGGTAACACGATAAATATACTTGTCATACACAAACATTTAACAGTAATCTTGTAATCTTGTAATGATCAGTTCGTCACATTTGTGTCAGGAGCGAGGTGTACAGGATTGTGCGAGCTGGACGTTCATCGGCTTTGTTTATCTGTTCATTCAGCTCGTATTATCCCCTGCACCCGGCTATTGACACATGCAACTTTTAGTACTTTTCAGCAACCCGTGCTTGCCCGTAAACGGCGACTATGCTTGTCGTAAAAGGCGACTAACGGGATCGGGTGGTCAGGCTCGCTGACTTGGTTGATGCATGTCATCGCTCCCAATTGCGTGGATCGATGCTCATGATATTAATCACTGGATTGTCTGGTCCAGACTCGATTATTTACAGACCGCCGTCATATAGCTCGAATAATGCTGAGTGCGGCGTTAAACAACAAACAAACAAAACCCTTCAAGCAGAAGAATGAATCATTTCTCACATTAGTATAAACGTCATAATATATACATTTATATATCACGTCATGCTTAATAAACATGACGTTTCAATCCGTCTGGTAAATATACGTCACTGCATCCTCCAGACAACTATCTTCCGTAACGAGGGTGGAAATTGATCGCAATCGACCAAACAGCGGTATTGGATGTCATGGAGCTGGACAAAAAGCTATATAGTGTAAGTCAGGTTAAGCCCAGACGGCTAATGTTGTTGATAAGTTAATATATCCGAACAGGAAATGCGAGCGAAGCCGCAGCCAGTCCTGGCTATATGGACAGATGGGACATATCAATAGTGAATGTCCACACCACAGAAGTAGGTCTCAACAAGACAAATGATCCTCAACAACACTAATGTTATTCTCACATTGACGCCACGATGTGTGGTTGATCCAATTCTTAAATTTCCAATAGTCTGCTGCCGTGTGTCATTTCATTAATTTCATCAATACGTTATTTCTTAGCTATATCTGTTCATTATTCCAACTTGTACAATCTCCGTTCGTGATCAATAGCCTTTCCTTCAATGACTTTATATCATATTATATTTAATGAAATGCCGATAATTTAGAACCTCGGACGACAAATTTCTGGAAGCCTGTGTGAAAACAATGGACCAACACTATGCCATGCTTTGTTGACCCGTGAAGATCCGGAGTAGAATAGGTCTTCGGCATCCCATGCTTACAGTAAAAGGCGACTATGCTTGTCGTAAGAGGCGACTAACGGGATCGGGTGGTCAGGCTCGCTGACTTGGTTGATACATGTTATTATATCCCATTGCATGGATCTATGCTCATGATGTCAGACACTGGATTGTCTGGTCCAGACTCGATTATTTACAGACATCCGCCATATAGCTTGAATATTGCTGAGTGCGGCGTAAAAGCAACAAACAATTAAACAAGACTACTCAAAGACCCAGCTAACATTAAAATGAATAAGCGGTTAAAGGTTATTGTTGTTATAGAACTGATGCACGTACGGGACAATGACATTAACATTGAAAATGAAACAGGTAAGTGCTACTGTGCATATTAGACACGTGTATGCATAAACACAGGCTCATCAAGATATATATGTCCATGCTTTAAACCAGAGTTGAGTTAGTGATTTGAGTGTTAGTGACCTGTCACCAGCGGGGAGAAAACGTCTTTGGGAATGGCACCGTCGGGAACGCGGAGACGGCCATTGGCGTCAACGTTAGTGTTTGAATGATAGCCTAACGTCTAACTGATAGACATGGCTATTCATATTGACAGTTTCTGATGTATTTGAGATGATGTAAAGTAGGTGTCAATGGTTGTTGACAACAAATCATTTCATGTGAACTCTATTGGTTTACTGAGTGCATATCACTTATAACGTTCTCAGATAAGGAATCATTAGTGACAAGAATGTTCACAGTGACTTTCAAAGTGGGTGTGCAGTGATTAGGCGCGATTTGTTTCTAGGCAGAACTACAAACAACCTGAAATTATAAACCACATTATTAATGAACACATGAAGCGTGTATCGATAATGTTTCAGGGTTACTTCTTTCACCTTTCACCTTATAAAGGGACAGACCCGTGAAGACCTGGGGTAGAACAGGTCTTCAGCAACCCATGCCCGCCGTAAAGTAACCCATGCTTGTCCTAACAGGTAACAATGCTTGCAAGAGGACCCGTGAAGATCCGGGGTAGCATAGGTCTTCAGCAACCCATGCTTGCCGTAAAAGGTGACTATGCTTGTCGTAAGAGGCGACTAACGGGATCAGGTGATCAGGCTCGCTGACTTGGTTGATTCATGCCATCGATCCCAATTGCGTGGATCGATGCTCATGATATTAATCACTGGATTGTCTGGTCCAGACTCGATTATTTACAGACCGCCGTCATATAGCTGGAATATTGCTGAGTGCGGCGTTAAACAACAAACCAATCAACCAACCAACCTGCACCCGCTAATCAGTAAATATACTCTATGCTTGTCGTAAGAGGCGACTAACTGGATCGGGTGGTCAGGCTCGCTGACTGATGCATGTCATCGATCCCAATTGCGTGGATCGATGCTCATGATCACTGGATGGTCTGGTCCAGACTCGATTATTTACACACCGCCGTCATATAGCTGGAATATTGCTGAGTGCGGCGTTAAACAACAAACAAAAAACCCAAATACTCTATGACGTTTATTTAACAACTGCATTATGTTCAGCCAAATGATATCTACTGTTTAACATGATAAGGCAAAGTGAGATGAGATGTTTATCCCACAATTACATGTGCTCATCCAAGGCACTGCAAAGTGATTCTGACAATTACCCGCTGTTACGTTAAGAAATTTAATAATATTTATTTGACATTTCCATTTTGTCCAACCATGATGCGATATAGATTCAATCTGACAATTATATCTGTTCAGTTAACACACAATTCAGTTTTTATCCGACAGCTGCTTGCTGCCACTCAACGATACAATTGACTATCCGTCTAGCGATTACCCCAGGCAATGGGGGCAAAGGTTTCTATATCAACACTACACGCTGTCAAATCAAGACAGTGGATACAGACCTTTTTATATAAAATCTATATTGTTCCAAGAGTTATAGAGTAAAACAGTATTCCGTCAAGACATATTTCGGATTGCATATTATGACACAATACGCTTATTTAAATTTATAGGTTTTGAAACAAACAAATTCAAATGTTAAACTGAAAAGCCTGCAACATATAATCAGTCTGAAACATACCATATATCAACAAGCGGCTAAGAATCAAATTAAAGTTAAAGCTATTTTCTTCATCCTATTTATAGGAATATATTTAATCGATTGAATATATTGTCTTAAGTAGTTTTAAAAGTAGATCTATTTTCGGTTTTATTCCTTTGATTCCACATACATGAATGTGGCTTTTCCCAATAAAAGTATATATGATTGATTAAAGTACTATTGTAGTTAGAACCAAACCAAATATATTTTGTCATTTTAATTTTTTGTGAAAGATGGTTATTTAGTCAAAGTTCGAGATCATTCCATTTTTTAAAGTCTTATTACACTCCCATGTGGATTATGTACCTGGTTTCAACATCCGGAGCATACGCTTTTTTAACAAAAAAAAATGATGTAAGAGACGAGCACCGGCGAGGATCAGTGTTTGTAGAGAGGACGGGGACGTACGCGGCAGATGGGATCCATCATCAGCCGTACAGCGATTCCAAGTCGCTGTTATCTCCAGGTCGCCAGATAATTAAGTCTGACTTTCTTTAACAGCACGGCCGTGTATCTAACCTTTACAGGCCAGCTCTCTCAATCAAGCAATGAAATGACTTCTCCAAAGGTCAAAGGGCAGGTCATCTCAGGGTTAGTCACCTCAAGGTCACAGCTATGGATGTGCCTGAACTGACGGCGGAGTTTCAACGCCTCGAGGGCGACTACGTCGTCATGCTGTACGACTGAAGCAAGCTTGGCGTATTGATCTGTGCCCGGACGCTCCTGGGGACGGTACAGACAGGCGCACCGCCGGAGTTCTGTCCACTTTAGTAATTAGAAACACGGACCACGTACGACTAGCTAGACAATTCTCGGCTATATTTTGTCCAGACTCGCCGGAATAAAATAGCGCCAAAAGTAAATTGGAAAATATTCGCAGAACAATTACACCGAATATGACAATGTCCAGCGCTATTTGGGCCAATCTCAAAATCTGATCGATTTACCCTCGGCGATGAATTAAGCGACATATTTGTATCTGGAGTAGTGCCTTCGCGTCATCTTCCGACAGTTTGTAAAGACCGCCGCTAGGCGACGACACTCAGCCTCTTGTGACCTTTGCTGGAGGCTAGGAATAGGGGAAGCGAGAGGATCTGTAATAGAAACACTAAGTAGAAATGGTTTCATGTATTTGGAAGTGTATATTGCGAGTTATTTGTAGTTAATCAAGCCTCCCGCGCAATGCATGCATGGTATCTCGACCGCCCTCTCGCCACACAATACCCAACCTACTCTTCTCGTATCTTGTAAATCTACAAAACCTGAGGTAAAACAAACTTGGTACAAAGATGTAGACGCCTAGCTGATGCTCCTCCTCATCAGCATCACTTGTCTCCACACCATATTGTTGGCCTCTGTGAAGAGTTCCACAGAGAAGCAGAGAGTAGATGGAAAAAAGCTGTAACAATCTTTTTTCAGTAGAATTTTGCCTGTGAGACAAGTTCTCTAAGTTCTCATTCATTTGCAACTGTGGCCAGTGGGAAGCTCGCCCATTCTTCGGGACGTGTTATTGATGGGTTGTGACACAGGGCCGCGAGCCGCGTCTCCATGGAGACGAGCAGATCGGAAAAATGATTACCTCGGAATGAAGATGCCAACCCGGGGCAAAAGACACAATTTATTTTTTTGGCAGATTTCAAATTTTTCAAAGTCTTCAAAAATAATCATTGTTAACATGGATAGGACGGATAATAGCTTCTTAACACATCTGACGATTGGTTGCTGTCCCGGTACAAAGGTTGAATGCATATATCACTCATTGCCGGCAATCTAGCAGCCCCCAATCCACCCTCCATCTATCTCCCATCCATCGCACTTTCATCTGCATCGCTATCCGCGAGTGATTCACTGTTCCATGTTCTTTACGGTCGAATCACTGCATTGCCTCCACAGCATTTCCATCAGTTACAACTCCAGACTTCCCAGACAGTCACCCTCCCACGGCCCCTGTCCCTCCCACACAACGAAATACCTCCCCTCTACACCCACACCGCTCACTGACCTGTGTACTGCATCATACATGTACCCCACCCCTCCCCATCAGCAACCCCACCCCCATCCCAACCTTCGCCTTCCTCCCCATCAGCAACCCCACCCCCATCCCAACCTTCGCCTTCCTCCCCATCAGCAAACCCACCCCCATCCCAACCTTCGCCTTCCTCCCCATCAGCAGCCCCACTCCCATCCCAACCTTCGCCTTCCTCCCCATCAGCAACCCCACCCCCATCCCAACCTTCGCCTTCCTCCCCATCAGCAACCCCATCCCCATCCCAACCTTCGCCTTCCTCCCCATCAGCAACCCCACCCCATCCCAACCTTCGCCTTCCTCCCCATCAGCAACCCCATCCCCATCCCAACCTTCGCCTTCCTCCCCATCAGCAACCCCACCCCCATTCCAACCTTCGCCTTCCTCCCCATCAGCGCCCCCATCCCCATCCCAACCTTCGCCTTCCTCCCCATCAGCAACTCGATCCCCATCCCAACCTTCGCCTTCCTCCCCATCAGCAACCCCATCCCCATCCCAGCCTACGCCTTCCTCCCCATCAGCAACCCCACCCCCATCCCAACCTTCGCCTTCCTCCCCATCAGCAACCCAACCCCCATCCCAACCTTCGCCTTCCTCCCCATCAGCAACCCCACCCCCATCCCAACCTTCGCCTTCCTCCCCATCAGCAACCCCACCCCCATCCCAACCTTCGCCTTCCTCCCCATCAGCAACCCCATCCCCATCCCAACCTACGCCTTCCTCCCCATCAGCAACCCCACCCCCATCCCAACCTACGCCTTCCTCCCCATCAGCAACCCCACCCCCATCCAAACCTTCGCCTTCGTCCCCAGTTCCTATTAATCGAAACCACATGTCCCTCATCCCTGTACCCAACTATACCATTCTCGTGTCCCTCCATATTCCATGCCAACCATACATACCATACCCTTTCATTCTCATCTCACTGATTTCCCCTAACCCCTACCCACTTGCTCACTTCTACTCAGCACTCTCCCCAAAGCACCACGACTCGCATTCCGTCACCCTTACCCCTCCTCCCACCCCTATCCACTCCCTTCCTACCTCCCCCCAACTATCTTCACGTCATTGCCGTCAACCTGGCTGGGCCTCTCCTTCACCCGGGTCAGCAGACAGAAGCATAATGGGCCCCATCATTCAAGCCCATCTGCCATAGAATCCCATCAAACCCACCAAATACATCCCGTGTCTCTCCCAAAGGAAAACATCCAATTCGGCGTCCGCTCCTCCTTCACTGGGCCAGAAAATCAAGTCGTTATTAGCCGTCATCGATTTACCATCTATACTCAAGAACTGAGATTTCAACCTCAACCTGGGTCGGAGGTCAGGTGATACGCTGGAATGAAATTTGATAACTTAGGTCCACAAGATAATTAGGAAAATATGAGACTTATCGACACTAAAAAACGAGACATGTCGAGAGCAAAATTAATTTCAACAGCTGATGTTTCGCAACGTGAGTTGAGTAACAGTCTGACGGACCTACTGTTGGTGGGATCTGGTTGCACTGCGTAAGAACAACAGCCGACTTGGTCGCTTCGCTACGAAACAACAGTTGACGTTCACTGTGTTAATAAGCGTCAGATGATATGTTCCTTGTGTAACGGCACACCAGGTGACGTTTTCATTGTATCGAGGCTTTGTTTGACATTTTCATTGCGTTAAGATTAGTGAGTGAGTGAGTTGGGTTTAACGCCGCTTTTAACAGTATTCCAGTTATATCGCGGCGTGTCAGCTTAATGTGGGAGGAAAGCCCGAAGTGATGCAGGTCTCAGACGTTTACCACTTAGGTGAAACCCACGAGCAGGGGTATGGTGCTGACAAACCTAGAAACATAATCGGGGCGAACCGGGATTCGAACCCACAATCATAGGTTTCTGGCGTGCCCAAGGGACGCAACTCTGCACAGCGAATAGCGGCGCCTCAGACGATTAGGCCACACGTGCCCCCTCATTGCGTTAAGAAATTTCAGATTCGACTCAAGTGGTTATTGGGTAAGACCCGTTGACGTTAACGTTGACGTGTTCACTTAGTTGAGAAACATTAGTTGATGCGTTCATTGCGTTATGAATTGCCATTTTACGCCATCGACGTCTTCCATAGACTCAAAAGACAGACGTGTCCTCTGACCCAGGGAACAAGGAATATGTTCTAATTCACTATGTTCAAACGAACATAAGACCGCCTCCGTGGTCTAGTGGTAGAGCGTCCGCCTGGAGAGCGGAAGGTCCGGGGTTTCAATCCCCGGCATCGTCATACCAAAAGACGTTAAAAGATGGTACTTGTTGTTACCCTGTCTGGCGCTCGGCATTAAGAGGTTAAAGCAAGGACTGGTCGGCTCGGAGTCAGTATACTGTGTCTGAGTGGGGTATTCATGTTAAACTGCGGCATGATATCTCAGTGGGCTAGCACTATAAATCGGCATCAGTCCGGTCTAGTACAAGCAGACACACACACACACACACACACACACACGTGCATGCACGTCGCTATATAAGTGCAATAATCTTGGACGCGACGTTAAACCCCATTTCACATCACCTCAAACAAACATAAAACAATTACTATGGCAACAAACGCCACTCATGGGTAATACCTACCGCTGCTACCTTGAGCACGTGGCGCCACCACTTTCACGTGCACAGGTTTCATCTTCAAATTTAATTCGTTATCGTATTTACCCCATAGTAAATACATTCCTAGTGTCTGCTATCACAGTGAACAACGATGTAAATGTAAATTGGCGCAATGAACTACTATTGAAGTTTTTACTGTCACAGTAAACAACGGCTCAAGTATCCACTATAACAGTGAACAACGATTAAAGTGTTCACTGTCACAGTGAACAATGCAAGTGTCTACTACCACCGTGACCAACGACTGAAATGTCAATTATGGCAGTGAACAACGAAAAATGTGTTTAATGTCACAGCGAACAACAAGTCAAGTGTCTACTATCACAATGAAGTCGATTGAAACGATTTTACAGTAACGGTGAACAACGACTGAAGAGTTTACTGTCTCAGTGAACAACGATTGAAGCATTTACTGTCAAAGCGAATAACGATTGAAATGCAATTATTGCAGTGATACACGATCAAAATGTTTGCTCTCTAAGTGAACAACGACTAACGTGTCCCATTATCACAGTGAACAGCGATTGAAGCATTTACTGTCTCCGTGAACGATTGAAGCATATACTGTCAAAGTGAACAACGACTGAAATGCGAATTATCGCAGTGATAAAAGATAAAAATATTTGCTCTCCCAGTGAACAATGACTGACGTGTCCATTATCACAGTGAACAACGATTAAAGCATTTTACTGTCTCAGTGAACAACGATTGAAGCATTTACTGTCAAAGTGAACATCGATTGAAAAGCGTATTATCGCAGTAATAAACAATTAAAATGTTTGCTCTCCCAGTGAACAATGACTGACGTCACAGTGAACGACGTTTGAAGTGTTTACTGTCTCAGTGAACAACGACTGACGTGTCCACTGACACAGTGAACAACGATTGAAGTGTCCACTACCAGGATGAACAATAATTGAAATATTTACTGTTTCAGTGAACAACGATTGAAGTGTCCACTGAAGCAATGAACACTGATTAAAGTGTCTACCTTCAAAGTGAACCTTGAATACAGCATTTACTGTCACAGTGGACAACGGCGCAAGTGTCCACAGACGCAAAACAACGACTGAAGTGTCCATTGTCACAATGAACAACGATTGAAGTGTTTACAGTCAAAGTGAACCACGAATATTAAAAATCAATATCACCGTGAACAACGATTGAAGTGTCAGTGTTTGCGTGCATTGTGCGGACGGTGCGTGGTTATATTGTGTGGTCAGAGTATGGACGTATTGTGTTGTGAGTGCGTGGACGTCCAGTGTTATCAGTAAGTGGATGTGCTGTGTTGAATGCGTGGATACATTGCGTGGTATGTGCGTGGTTATATTGTGTGGTCAGAGTATGGACGTATTGTGTTGTGGGTGCGTGGACGTCCAGTGTTATCAGTAAGTGGATGTGCTGTGTTGAATGCGTGGATACATTGTGTGGTATGTGCGTGGTTATATTGTGTGGTCAGAGTATGGACGTATTGTGTTGTGGGTGCGTGGACGTCCAGTGTTATCAGTAAGTGGATGTGCTGTGTTGAATGCGTGGATACATTGCGTGGTATGTGCGTGGTTATATTGTGTGGTCAGAGTATGGACGTATTGTGTTGTGGGTGCGTAGACGTCCAGTGTTATCAGTAAGTGGATGTGCTGTGTTGAATGCGTGGATACATTGCGTGGTATGTGCGTGGTTATATTGTGTGGTCAGAGTATGGACGTATTGTGTTGTGGGTGCGTGGACGTCCAGTGTTATCAGTAAGTGGATGTGCTGTGTTGAATGCGTGGATACATTGCGTGGTATGTGCGTGGTTATATTGTGTGGTCAGAGTATGGACGTATTGTGTTGTGGGTGCGTGGACGTCCAGTGTTATCAGTAAGTGGATGTGCTGTGTTGAATGCGTGGATACATTGCGTGGTATGTGCGTGGTTATATTGTGTGGTCAGAGTATGGACGCATTGTGTTGTGGGTGCGTGGACGTCCAGTGTTATCAGTAAGTGGATGTGCTGTGTTGAATGCGTGGATACATTGCGTGGTATGTGCGTGGTTATATTGTGTGGTCAGAGTATGGACGCATTGTGTTGTGGGTGCGTGGACGTCCAGTGTTATCAGTAAGTGGATGTGCTGTGTTGAATGCGTGGATACATTGCGTGGTATGTGCGTGGATGTATTGTCAAGTTAATGTTTGCATGTATTGTGTGAATGATGCGTGGATGCATCGCGCGCTGAGTGTACACGTGGTATGTGCGTGGATGTATTGTCAAGTTTATTTTTGCATGTATTGTGTGAATAATGCGTGGGTGTATTGCGCTCTGAGTGGATGTATTGTTACGTTAATGTTTGCATGTATTGTGTGAATAATGCGTGGGTGTATTGTTACGTTAATGTTTGCATGTATTGTGTGAATAATGCGTGGGTGTATTGCGCTCTGAGTGGATGTATTGTCAAGTTAATGTTTGCATGTATTGTGTGAATAATGCGTGGGTGTATTGTTACGTTAATGTTTGCATGTATTGTGTGAATAATGCGTGGGTGTATTGCGCTCTGAGTGGATGTATTGTTACGTTAATGTTTGCATGTATTGTGTGAATAATGCGTGGGTGTATTGCGCTCTGAGTGGATGTATTGTTACGTTAATGGGATGGAGCTTTTGTATAGTGATGAGATCTTGAAGCAATCACAGCAACAAAAACAGATATTGTTTTTATTTAAAACTATGAGCCTTAATATATGTGGCAGTAATTTTTTTTATCAGTATGAAGCATTATTATTTCCCCCCACCCCCACAAACAAAGGGAATATTAAATGGTAGGCCTCCAAATCATGATCGCCCAAATAGACGCATCGCGTATGTTAGCGTGTGTATAAGTGATGCGTGCTGACTGTATGAATACATGATGCTTTCATGCAAGATAAATAACTTAATATACATAATTTTGTGCCCAATACTTTGAGATGCAAAAGTAATTCCAACCTGATGTTGACGTGACGGAGAGTTTCCTTAGGGATGGGCAACGGGCCGCAAGGACCAACGGATTATTTTGTCCCCAATGAATTACTCTTGTAAATCCAAAAGCCTCTGGGAAAGTCATTACAATATTTAGTCACGAGGGTCGAACATACTGTAATTACAAGCACCTATTCATTATAGTTACAACCAGAGTCAATTTGAAAATGTTATGTCACCCGTAACAGTCAACA